CTATATTTCTTTTTCAACTCCATCGTGATTCCGTCTCAGCTTCCCAGAAAGCATGAAGTGCAAGCAGCCAATTAAGCGCTTAAACACTAACAAACTAACAAGATCTTTCACTATCTATTGCCTGGAGCCCATTCCCACCTGGGTGAAGTGAGGAAAATTGTTCTTGAAAGTGCCTTTCCCAAGGACATAATACAGGACCTCTGACTGGGTTCAAACCCATGACCTTTCAGTTGCAAGCCCAACAGTCTAACCACTGAGATTTGCAGAGATCTTGAGCCCTTCTTATGCAAGGGTGGTATCATAGGGCATAGACTGGAAAATATGAGATCAATTTTTTAATAAACTTTACTGACTTAATTTAGGCAACTGGAACAAAAAAATAACTGGCTACTGCAATGCAAGAGACCAAGTGATGAACTGATGATGCCCTAAATTCCATTTGTTCATTCAGATCTTGAGATTAGACAGTGAAATCAACCCTGAACTACTGAATCATCCATAAGCTGATATAAAGACTAAATATAAAACTACAAGAATTTAATAAAATAGCATGCAACACTAAAGTTGTTCACTTTTGTCTGACTGCAGCTTTAAAACACAGTAAAATGAAATTGCTCTGTTCAATCCTCTCCGATCTTTACATACAGGTATAAAAGTTGAATGAGAAACAGAATCTAAAAACACATTTTTATTAAAAGGTCACTAACGTTCCGCAACATTTTCTTTGATGTTAGATTTAATCGGGTAAAAAAATAATAACGATTTACAGTATAATACACACCTAAAACATTAAAAAGTTCACATATATTTCCTCAATGACTCAATAACACACTTTAATGCAGGTCTAAACCAGACGTCTAAACAAGCTTTTACAGAAATGTGGGGGCAAGGTGGTGTCGCTGTCTCAAAAAGAGCAAATAATTACAATACAGTAATTCTGAGAGTTGTGGTGGTGTTTTGAAATACTCCCAAAAACGCCAGTCTTCAGTGCTTGTGACTGGTGAAAGGGCACAGTAGTCAGTGAGATAAACTAATAAAAAAGCAACAGCGAGCACCAAGCACACCTCTGAGATTGGCCCAAATATGGATGATGTATTTCCGCCATCTGTTTTTGTCGTCTTCCGGGGTTCCTCAAAGACTCTAGATCTAGGGTTTCCCTCACCAGTAACTGTTGACAAAATCTCGCTGTGTTTGGGTTTTTTTAGTTTTTTTGTATTAAATTAATTTTGTTATCTTTTCAAACAATCTCAGCAATTCTTGTTCCAAAAACGGAGTGTCTACGTACACGGTAACCGGGCGCGTAGCCTCAGGGTCTACTTACACGGTAACCGGGCACGTAGTCACAGTATCTACGTACACGGTAACTGGAAGATCCAAGGGATAGTTCACTCAGTCAAAAAGAGTGTCACTATTATTGTTTTTCACACAAGTAGGGTAGATTCTAACTTTGTTCGCAAAGGTCGCGCTTTTTCGAAGAGGGTGCACTAGGGTCAACCGCTCTATAGTCCAGCATGATACCCACAGAATTTCATAACAGAGCGTCCAGTAAGCCTTTACTTTCGCTTTCGTTACCTCCCAGAAATTTGTCAGTAATTGTCTGATAACGCAACAATTATAAATTGTAACAGGCAGGTTCGGCATTACAACGTGGTGTCGCCATGAAAATAAATCAATATTTGTCACTGTGTCATCACTTATGGGGGCAACATAAAGAAAAGAAAGTTATAATACAAGCGTCTTGTCGGGCTCGTCACTGTGACCAGTCAATGAACCTGCGCGCGCTCTGAGCGCTTCGAAGTACAGGACTCAGGAATGGGGGGAGATTATTGATTTTTTTAAAAGACGCACTCGGCGATACAGGGAGGACTGGACGCAACACCAGAGGACAAAAAAACTGAAACTGGAAGCAAATATATTTAATGTTTAGAATTTTGATTACTACTACAGCTCTCTGCTAAGTAAAGTGTGTGTTGCTGCAGGCCTTGTGTGAAAACGGCCTAAGTGCTCGCGTTTCATTGGACTGGTGACAGTAAATTAGATCTCTATATTTTAGCTTTCTGTACAAGATTTGCAGATTTTCAGTATCACTGCATCTTGACCTCCCACAGTTCTTACACCTCTCACACTGAATAGGTCTACTTGGGCTATTCTACAGTACTTTGAGTTTGACAATTAATTTTTGTCTTTCACTTTTATTATTATATTATACATATTATAAGATAAAATTGGTTTTCAAAATGCTGTGACAATCTTTAAATTTTTTGATGGCTCATGATTATTATAGCTAAAATCTTGAATTTTTTGCCACCTTGTTTTGTACTATGTCACATCCTTTGGTGCAGAAAAGCAAACATTAGACCAAATACTATAGCCTGTGGGTGTTGACCATGCCTATTCCCCTTAAAGATGTACTTTTCCATGTTTGATTTTGACTGTTTTCTCTTTTCCATTAGTTTTAATATGTCCTGGGTCATTCACTTTTTATTTGCTCTTTTAGCTTTCATATTGTTTTATCCAATGTGTATGTTGTGTGATTTGTGTGTGTTTAGAGACAGAGATAATATCATTGTGAGGCTATGGAGATTTTTGTTTATAATGTAACTACATATGTACAAAGTCATAGTCAAGTCAACTTCTGACAAACTCAACCGGTAAAGCTATCCTCATATCGTTTTATCCAAAGTTTATATTGTGTGATTTGTGTGTATGTAACATGCTATGTATTTAAATAATATATATAGAGGCTATTCACTTGTGTATATGCATGATGTGTGTGTGTGTATGTGTGTGTGTGTGTGTGTGTGTGTGTATGTGTGTGTGTGTGTGTATGTGTGTGTGTGTGTGTGTGTGTGTGTGTGTGTGTGTGTGTGTGTGTGTGTGTGTGTGTGTGTGTGTGTGTGTGTGTGTGTGTGCCTCTCCATCTCTCTCTCTCTCTCTCTCCCCCTCTCTCTCTCTGTGTTTATGTATTTTTGTGTGTGATTGTAAGTGTGGTGTGTGTAAAGATAGTATTAGTAGGTGGTTGGTGGGTGCTCTGATGTGGTCTGCTCCTTCTCTCCTATTCAACATCTATCATCCTTATCTTTCTCTTCCTTTTTTTGTGTTTGTTACTCTCTTGTAACACTAACACCTCTAATCTTCGGCACTTATATGAATGAACTTAATGTGTTGCAAGTGCTAACTTTTTCGAAAACAAAAGATAGCTTTAAGTATGAACAGGGCGCTTTGGCGGCAAGCGTAAGTGTATGCGTGGTACCGAAGCTCGATCTACTTTATAAAATTGCTTCTTTTACTACCCAGAAATTTGCCGGTAGCAGTCTGATTAACGCAACATTTGTAACATACAGGTTGTGCATTACAAATGCTGTGTCGCCATGAAAATAAATCATTGTCCTGTGCTTTCACTTGCGAAAAAATAAGAAAGTTATACAAGCGTCTTGTCGGGCTCGACATCATGGCCGGTCAGTGAACCTGTACCTCCACATCACATGTACCAGTGATCGTTGGGGTCACCAAAGTTCATTCAAAGTGTGCGCTGCGCGAAGTATAGGGCTTCAGAATGGGGGGATTATTGATTTTTTTTAAAAAGGTAGTCGGGGGGAGGGGTGGGGTTGAAGGCAACATCGGATGACAAAAACTGAACTTGGAAGCAAATTTTAGTATTTAGAATTTTGATTATTACTAGAGCTTCCTGCTACAGAAAAGCGTGCATTGGTGCAAGCCCTGTACGGAATTGGGATCCATCATACTCATACCTAGTAAGCCGTGTTTTTTAACCAAAAGGTCCGCGTTTCACTGGACGGGTGATAGTCAAGGATCTCCTTGGTGATAGTACGTTTGTTTCATTGTCCTTTGTTTTAAGAGAGGTACCTCATTAAGTGCATACTTTTTTATTCTCTCTCTCTCTCTCTTCATCTCCCTCTCTCTGTTTTCTGAGTCTCGTTCTCTCTCTCTCGTGATAGTATTAAATGTTTTGTAAACATGATCTATATTCTAGCTTTCTGTTCCAGATATGCAGATTTTCAGTCACTGCATTTTGCTCTCCCTTGGGAAAGATGACAGGGGGTAGATTGGGATCATTTTTGGGATTACATTCCGCTCACAACACACAAAAAGCGGAGTGAAAAAGGAAAAAGGTCATGGTCAAGAAGGAACATGGAGCGAAGCAATTACCGTGCACCTAGATCAAGCCCCCACGAAACAAAATACCCGGTTACCGTGTTCGGCGTAGATAATGAGAGGCGCCTGGTTGCCGGTTACCCCGTACGTAGATATTGAGGCTACGCGCCCGGTTACCGTTTATGTGACATTGAGACTACATGCCCGGTTGCCGGTCACCATGTACGTAGACACTGATGCTACCGTACGTGCCCAGTTACCGTGTACGTAGACACTGAGGCTATGTGCCCGGTTACCGTGTACGTAGACCCTGAGGCTATGTGCCCGGTTACCGTGTACGTAGACCCTGAGGTTACGTGCCCGGTTACCGTGTACGTAGACACTCCGTTCCATAAATTTACCTTCTCCTCAAAGCTGCACACACACACACAATGCACACAAGCCCGCACACACACACACACACGCAAGCACGCGCACACACAGCCCAAGCAGTCGGAAATGAGAAACCTAGTGACATAGCCCATCGCACGCTAAGCTCCGGAAGATGACAAAAATAGATGGTGGAAATATGATGTCATCAAGAATCTATATTTGGGCCAATCACAGAGGAGGGGAGGTGTGCTAGATCTAGATCTAGATCTAAATCTAGAGATCTAGATAGGTGCTCGCTGTCGTTTCATGTAAACTAAAGTCAATCGTTAGAGTAAGGTCCAGGTCCAGAGTCAGAGTCGTCAGCTGCAAACTGCAAGCAGCAATGAAAGAGTATTTTCTTTCTTCTGGATTAGTAAAAGGAAACGGATCCGAAAAGGAAATTGCCAAATACAAATGTTTAGTTAAGAAATAAGCAGCATTGAAAACAAAAATGCAAAGCAGCGTTACGTTACCAGTGCTCCAATAGCTCAGCTGTTAAGCTAAATCACCAAATTGGGTTTGTTTTCAATTTCGCCTCTCTTTGGACCTTCTTAGTGTGTTACATTACAAACATTAAATGCCGCTACTTCCTGTTCATACACAGCAGAGCAGGCAAGAGGTGAATACGAAGCCCGCCAACTATTAATTGTTAAATTTAAGTCAAAATCAGCCAAAAGAATTATTTGCTCTAATCAATATATACAATGATTTTTCCCCAATGAATAGCTCAATATAACCTTTATAATTAAATCTTCTCCTGATGAGTCTAAAAAGAGAGTCAGTCTTGCAGTCCTCATCACCTGGTCGGAAAACAATAAAATCCAAATGAGTCATCAATGTGTAAAGGGACAAAACTAAAATAAATCAATGTTCAAATGATGCACGTTGTCTTCTCCCTTCATTCTAATTATTACTATTTTTTCTCTATATATTTGAATCTAGAACCGGGGTATTTAGAATTGGGTATCTAGAATTGTATGTCATTTGCATTTTTTAAAGCCCCCACCCCCATGTCACGACTCAGCTCAAAATTAAGGAATTTGAATTGTAGGCATTTTTAGCTTCCTCGGCCTCTCCTACAACTATTTCATCGCATAAGAAGAACCCTCACTCATAAGCTTTATTTTTTCCCGCACCGGGCATGTTTGTCACCATCATTTCATCATAAAGTCAATATTTTGTTTTACTTTATCGGCCGTTTTCTCAAAACGCGATTTTTTCTATATAGTTTTTTTTAATAACTCCACCATTTTTCACCCAATCCTCACGACATTTAGACAAAATGAAGAGTTATATAATATGGAATAGATTGTTGGTGGTGGTGTCTGGAGTGTGGATTTTCACGTTGTTGTTGTTTTTTTTGCAGACTTGAACATTATCTCAGGAAAAAAATTCATTAAAAATTGGCTAATTCGTTCAGGAAAAAAAACAACATCCGAATTTTTAGATCTAGATTCTAGATCTAATGTTTGCTAAGATGCATGCAAAAAAAAAAATCAATTTCTATTTTTTTTAAAATAAATAAGTGCAGTATTCATTACGTAAAACACGTCAACAAATTCCAATATGGCCGCCTTATCCATGGAAACGAAACTTTTTCCCCAAAATTTGATTGCGGATTTTAAGACTCCTTACTATGCTTAAATATGTGTGAAATTTGATTTAAAAATTTGGTCCTCTAATAAGCGAGATAGGCTTCAGGTCCAGAAAGCCCCCCCCCCCCCCCCCCCCCCCCCTTAACGCATTGAAGAGCATCATTGGCACCATATTTTTTGGGCAAAGCTATAAAGACTGAATTCTTATATTTTCTGGAATCTTACGAGCTAAACAGAACATAAGTGCTTCGTTGTTATTTTATGTACATGTATATTGTTTTCGTTGCATCGATATGTAGCACTTTAGAGGAGCATCTTTGTAAACCATCTTTTCATGTTTGATCCTACGGTCTAAATAAGGAAAATAAAGCAAAGCAAAACAAATCCAACTGTAAGTTCTGTAAGGATACTATTCCCTAAAAACGAACTAGATCTAGGTTCAAACCACCGAATTTAGGACGAGATTGCAAGAACCATTTGACCTAATTTTGTTGATTGAAATTGCCGTAAAACTTACTAAAAAAAACAAAAACACCACAGGCAATGCAAATGTAAGCTCAGTTTTATAGATATGTTGACACAAGAGCTGATGTAACGTTAAGTTTCGTTTCTCAAATAATACGTGTAGGAAACTACATGCAGTTCTTTTAGAATGGGGTTTTTTTTCTCGAAGGAGAAAAAACTCTTTTCATGAAGCAATTAAGTATTAGAATATAGATCTATGTGAATGCCAGTATTTTGACTTCGTTTTCTTTGTGTCGCACAGAGAGGAGTAAACCACTTTGTAGTGCAGTCTTTGCTATTTTTGAAACAGAAGGGCGACATTATAATCATAATTAGGAAAACAGTTTTTCTGTCTGCTTGTTTCATAAGAATATTGTTTCGTACATCTGGATAGAACGACTACGGTTGGTGTTCTTAATGTAGAATGTATTAAGCCCCCCCCCCCCCCAACCCCCGACACAATATAGATCATTATACTTAAGAGGTGAGTCTCGACCCTGCCTGCAGAGGGGAAATAGCGTCCCAGAAGAAAAATTGAAGGAAAAATCACACGCAGGAGGGAATCAAACTCCAGTCATCAGCGCGCGACGGCGAAGCACCAAACTGCTACACCCGCCCTAGACACTGGTGTATTTGAATTGGGGTAGGGAGGAGAGGGAACATAATTATGGTAGTGTCCTCTAAGCATAGTTAAAAATGCAACTTCTTTCTAAAGCACCACCCCCCCCCCCCTCCCCCCAACCTTTCCACCCCACTTTAAGTGCAGCTACGCTATACGCACCGGCATTATGTGTGGTATGGCACTCAAACTCTTCACCGTTGCACGGAGAAGCCGAGAGTTCAATTTCCAAGTGAGAAAGTTGTCTCCTTGAGTATCTCTGTCGTCTGCTGAGATGCTTTATCCAATTCAGCCCGGGTCAGCTCTGGCGGACAGAGTCGAAGCAACCCGTTTCATGCAGGATCTAAACTGTGTAAAGAGGGGCGTTAAAAGCATTTACAATAAAACTACATATCGATTACGTTACACGAGGATTATTCACGTCCCCACAATTGACACAAGTAGGTTGTTCGAGGGAGCCACTGGTAGTCTTACTTCTTTACTTTCCTTCTGTTGTTTCTGTGTGTCTGTCTTACGTTTGCTCTGCACTAAATGACCATTAACGTGCCGGCCGATGTACTTTTTTTTATGGAGACGAATCTCCGGTTGACGTGTTAACCTGCACAGTGTTCTAGCGGTTTGTCCGCCAAGTGTTTTTCTGCTGATGCTTCCACGCGAAAGAGAGCCCTGGAAACGTTATCATTGTTCACAATTCACACTATAAGGTCAAGCGAGTGAAAACATTTATTCGTTCCAGTAGCGCATACAAGAATCAGAATGATGCATGCAACATATTTCAACCCCCCCCCCCCCCCTTCCGGGGAGGCAGTTAGGTTTTTAATCTTTTTTTCTTGTAAAAAATAATATTTTAAAAATCAGGAAAGTGGGGGCAGGGCACATTTTCAATAGATCTTTGAAATGTTGTTTCTTTTATCACTGTTTTGAAACCCCGTACCACACACAAAAAGTCATTGACCTTTAGAAGGTTGTGCACGTGATTCTTTTGGCATTGCGCTCCACAGAAAAGGCTTAGGCTTACATCAGGAAGGATGAGAATACGAGATCTTTGCATCCGTAGCATGAAATGTTGGTCGGATGCAATGGAGCATTGGGGGGGGGGGGGGGGGGGGCGGCGTCTTTTCGGATTTTGTTTCTTTTTTGTTCTTGGTTGTTTTGTTGTTTTTGTTTTTTATGATGTTGTTTTCGAGTTGTTTTTCTCTTTTGTACTGTACCGTACCCAAAACTCGCACGTTTGTGATCAACATCATAAAGACGTCCTCTTTGTGCGAGAGTTTTAAACAAGATGTGTGTATGTTACAGAAAAAAGTCAAGTTACGTGCGAAAGGTGTATGTTCGTGAAAGCACATTAAGAACAATTATATATTTCATATCTTCGGTTGAGAGTATATGTAGCTGTTTTATAAACTTAATGTGTATGGGGGGGGGGGGGGGTGTTACAATTTGTAACAATACAAGCACTGAGCACCCACTTTCAAAACTTTGACGGAGATCAGGGATTTTTCCACAAATTTTAAGACGCAGCCTGATGTTCATACACTATAGGCTTCGGAATTAGTTAACGAAAAAAGTCAAAATTTGACAGAAAACTGTTCAGGTACACAGATCATGATAGAAATTATTCCGCAAAAAGCAGCCAGGCCGAACTAAAGACGGAGATCAGGTAGCCAACATTTCCTCTTTCTTCGAAAATGACTTTTCCTAAGAGAAAAGAAAAGGTTTACACTGAATATCCTCAGATTATATATGTACTCATTTAAGTATACAAGTACAAATGTATTCAGGTACTTGAGACATGGAGAAGAGTCTATACCTCCGACATACAGAAATCACAAGGAGTCGAAGCGTTGGGTAATAGATAGATAGATAGATAGATAGATAGATAGATAGATAGATAGATAGATAGGTGGGTGGGTAGGTAGGTAGGTAGGTAGGTAGGTAGGTAGGTAGGTAGGTAGGTAGGTAGGTGGGTAGGTAGGTAGGTAGGTAGGTAGGTAGATAGATAGATAGATAGATAGATAGATAGAGAGAGTTAAGGCAGAGAGAAGAGTAGGGGTCACAAAAGATGGTAAGGACATAGATCTTGATTCAAATCCGTGTGATCTGATCAAAACTACAGGTTGCATAATATGAAGAAAAATAAAATGACTACTGTAGTTGGACAAAGGCACACTTCATTCAGCATTCAGGAGTAAAATTACGAAGAAGGGATCTCTTATTAGAGAAAAGATGGATAACTGAGAAACCTCTATCGAGAAATCAACAATTCTTTATTTTTTATAGCAATATTGTCAGTTCAGCTACACGTATCAGGATCATACAGGTATACACGGCAAGGCAAGACATAAACGTCGAGGCACCAGATATTTCCATTACAAGTTTCCTTCACCTTTCTACAACATATCAAAGGCAGTTTTGTTTACGAAAAAAAATGTTAATAAGAAGAAAGAATGAAACAGAACGGCAAATAACCATTAAAAAACATTTAAAACAAACGATAAACTCAATGAAAAAATAAGAAATCACAATAAATAGTAACAACAACAACAACAACAACAACAACAACAACAGCAACAGCAACAGCAACAACAACAACAACAACAGGTCTAACAATAACAATAATTACAACAACTACGATTTCTTCGTTGCACTACTTACACACCAAGTTCAAAGATAATTTTCATGGAAACAAAACTTAAATTTGAGCTTACTGGTCCATATAGGCTATAGCAACAGCCATCACTGAACACACACACACACACACACACACACACACACACACACACACACACACACACACACACACACACACACTCACACACACACATGCACACACACATGCACACACACAAGATACACATTCAAACGTTTAAGAAACACAGAGTGTTATGTGTTACATGTAAACTCCGTATCGCAAAGTAATGCGAATTGAAACAAAAGACATCAGTCTGATGTTACACACTTTGCATTTGAGGCAATAGTTGAAGCACAATTTTGTAAAATCAAGAAAAATGCGTTTTAAAAATCTAACAATCATACAATTATAGAAATTATCAGGTCGCATGCATAACAATGTATATTTTGGATATTCACTTGTATGACAAATCTAAACGAAGATATTAAAACATTTATCATATTAACATGCAGGCTGTAATCAACAGAGTATTTTTTAAAAGTTAACTGCTGATAAAAGTTGATTTTCACACCAAAAAAAAAGTATTCTGAGAATCGATAAAGTGGTTACTGTAAGAAATGGGCAATCCCCCCCCCCTCTCTCTCTCTCTCTCTCTTTCTCTCTCTCTCTCTCTCTCTCTCTCTCTCTCTCTCTCTCTCTCTCTCTCTCTCTCTCTCTCTCTCTCTCTCTCTCTCTCTCTCTCCCCTCTTTCACACGCATTCTTCTTTCTTCGAATAGTTGTCTCTAATAAATGTGAATGTATACTCATGATGATCATGTATTTAGTTCAAAGAGCATAATACATATACAGGAAATGGCATACATTCAATACTCATCTGATCTCTCCAGCACTTACACATTCATTCGTTCACTCTTTCCTTTAAAAAAAAAGGCTTTCTCGTAATTTATGTCATTGACATCATTGTTTCTTATGTCCCAATCGTTTCCAAAGTCGTATGGGGATGCAAAGGTGAGTGTGAATATGTGAGTGTGCGTGTGCGTGTTTGTGTGTATGTGTGTGTGTGTGTGTGCGTGGTGTGTGTGTGTGTGCGTGTGTGTGTGTGTGTGTGTGTGTGCGTGGTGTGTGTGTGTGTGTGCGTGTGTGTGTGTGTGTGTGTGTGTGTGTGCATTTGTGCTTGTGTGTGGGTGTGTGTGTGTGTGTGAGTGTGTGTGTGTATGTGCAAACATGTTTGTGTGTGAGTGTGCACACACGCATGTGCATGTGTGAATGTGTGTGTGTGAGAGAGTGTGTGTGTGCGTGGGGAGGGGGGGGGGCGGTATTTATTCCTATGTCTGAGAGGGAAAGTGTAGTCTTATTTACTCTCATCTCCTTTCATGCAAAGGATGCAAATGGGCCTAGTTGGCTTTACTTACAAATCTTCAATAATTACATTTGAGTCTCTCCTTAATCTTTGATAGTTTTATACAGAAACGGTAAACTGTGAAGAAAAACTACTTACACCTTGTCAGAGAAAGAATAAGCTCAGTTAAAAAATAAAAGTAACTTTTTGAAGGGTTAAGAGAAGATAATCAGAGAAAGTAAGAGATCCTATTTTCAATCATTTGTCTTACCCCACAATGGCATCGGAATTGACACACTACAAAAGACCATTTTGAGTTTGGGAAGAGCATGGAAAAAGCAATACAGTCAAAATTAACAGTGGGAATGAAAAGAAGTAGAAAGTACTACTGACGCCCTCCAACCAACCGCCCAAAATGCTTATCCCACACACTATAAAGAACCACTCTACTCGAGCTTCAACAACCCTGAGACCTCATAACGCTCCCCAAGCTTGGCCAACCCATAAGCCTTGAGCACATTGTCCGCCTCCTGTCGGTTCTCCGGGGTCAGTGCCCTCCGCGCGTCCACGCCGGTGTCGTGGGAGGTACCCCGGTTCACGTCAGCCTTCAGCGCCTCCGCCGCCGGACCCAGGTGCTCTCTCCGGATATCCAGCAGAGACAGAAGCACAGAGAGAGAGCGACGTGGGTTAATCATGAAGTCTTCATAGAGAATCGAACCGATGTTGAACCCTTTGTATCTGAGGTCAGCGCACTGAGACACGCTGGCTGCCCACGCTGCGGTTATGATGCCGACACTGCCTAGTTTCGTCGGGACAATGCTGGAGACTTTCTTCTCGTTGAGGAAGACGTGGTAGTAGTAGAAGTAGGAGCGGACGAACGGCAAGAAGGTGGAGAGGACTGGGCTGTCCATGATGAAGCGGAGAGCCTTCGGGGCGGGGTCTTGTTGTAACAGACTCAGGTTGGACATGAGGCTCTTCACGCTGTTGCGGTACATGAACAGGTAGCGGAAACGGGGGAACACCTGGGGACCACAAAGAAAAGATAATAAATAGTACACAATGCATCTCTCTCTCTCTACCTGTCTCTCTCTCTGTCTCTTTCTCTGTCTCTCTGTCTCTCTCTCTCCCATATGACCTTATGCAGTTGCCAACGCCGTAAAACCTCTACTAAAACAAAACTCTATCTCTTTCTCTCTCTCTCTCTCTCTCTCTCTCTCTCTCTCTCTCTCTCTCTCTCTCTCTCTCTCTCTCTCAATAATATATATGCACGCGCGCGCGCGTGTGTGCTTGACCCTGCCCGTCAGGGCTAACCTGGGCTGAGCGGGATGCAGCACCCCAAAGACAAAGATATTCGATATTATGCTGACTTCCCAAGGAGGAAGTCGAACTTAAGTCTTCCGTGTGCAATGGCAAATAGCAGTACAAGTACACTATCGACGAGCGCATCATTAGCTCGCTTGTTAACATGCTGGACTATGAAGCGGACGGCCCTGATTCGAACCACCAACTGAGTATTTTTTAACTTGGGTTGTTTTGATGAGTTTTTTTTAAGGCTATCAATCCATCAAGCTCGGTCCTGTCGGAAATTGACGTTAAAATCGGAGGTCCCGTGAAAGGGGCGTTAAAGCCTACACTAAGATATAAATCGATAAAAAGGCGGCAAGGAGACGAGTGTATTCTACTCTCTGCACGGACCATTAAGCCCATTCTTCAGAGTGGTATGTCAAAAGAAACGAAACGGGGCGAGAGCGACATGAACAATGGACATCGGAGGGTTTTTTTCAGGGTAAAAGAATTCCCAAATGTTTCACAGCTGACAGATTCCTATCTTACCTTCTTCTTCTCGGTATTAAATAGAACTTCCCTCTCAGAGATCAAGCCACTAGCTTGTGGGATAGGGGAGTTTACTTAAAGTTGGGATATATAACATTTTGTTGACGACCCAAGCATCAAATCAAGAGATGAATCAAATGAAGACATATTTTAAAATATCATTAATACTAGACCTACAGACAATGTCATGAACAGAAAAAAAATGCTTGAGACGGTGATCAGAAAGGGATGTGTGTGTGTGTGTGTGTGT